CCCCCAGCCTATGGCCAACCAAGCACCCCCAGCCTATGGCCAACCAAGCACCCTCCCCCCATAACCAACCTAGTACTCTAACTTAATGGCCAACAAAGCTACCCCCACCCTATGGCCAACCTAGTACTCTAACTTAATGGCCAACAAAGCTACCCCCACCCTATGGCCAACCTAGTACCCTAACTTAATGGCCAACCAAGCACACTGACTTAATGGCCAACCAAAAAAAAAAAAAAATCTAATGGCCAACAAAGCACACTCTACTAATGGCAAACGTAATACACTCACCTAATGGCCAAGCAAGCACATCTTCTAATGCCAACCAAGCACCCCGACCCTATGGCCAACCTAGTAACCTAACTTAATGGCCAACCAAGCACACTCATCTAATGGCCAGGCAAGCACATCTTATAATGGCCAACCAAGTACACTCTACCAATCGCCAACCAAGTACAATCACCTAATGGCAAACCCCATCACAGCACAATAATACATCACACCACATGATACATAACATCACCATGATACATCACATGATGATGAAACATCACATCACAATGTTGAATCACATTACAATGATACATCACTTCACAGTGATACATCACAATGATGCATCACCATAATACATCACACCACAATGATACATCACATATAATGATACATCACATGATGATGATACATCACAATGATACATCACATCACTTTGATACATCACATCACCATGATACATCACATCATAATGATACAACACATCACCATGATACATCAGATCACAATGAAACATCACAGCACAATGATACTTCACATCACAATGATACATTATATCAGAGATGAACAACTGTAAATTGGAATACTTCATTATTTAATGTAAATCAAATGTTTCAATTTAAATAATATTACACATTTTTTTTCTAAATTTTAAATGCTCCTAATAATTATTCAATTATATTTTTGCAGTGATGATAGTGTAGATAATGATAGCGTTAGTAGTGTTAATAGTGATAACGACATTGATAGTGATGATAGTGTTGATAGTGATGATAGCATTGATAGTGATGACGGCATGGATAGTGATGACGGCATTGATAGTGATGATAGTGTTGATAGTGATGACAGCATTGATAGTGATGATAGTGTTGATAGTGATGATAGTGTTGATAGTGATGATAGTGTTGATAGCGATGACAGCATTGATAGTGATGATAGTGTTGATAGTGATGACAGCATTGATAGTGATGATAGTGTTGATAGTGTTGATAGTGATGATAGTGATGATAGTGTTGATAGTATTGATAGTGATGACAACATTGATAGTGATGACAGCATTGATAGTGATGATAGTGTTGATAGCGATGACAGCATTGATAGTGATGATAGTGTTGATAGCGATGACAGCATTGATAGTGATGATAGTGTTGATAGTGATGATAGTGTTGATAGTGATGACAGCATTGATAGTGATGACACCATTGATAGTGATGACACCATTGATAGTGATGATAGTGTTGATAGCGATGACAGCATTGATAGTGATGATAGTGTTGATAGTGATGATAGTGTTGATAGCGATGACAGTGTTGATAGCGATGACAGAATTGATAGTGTTAATAGTGTTGATAGTGATGATAGCGTTGATAGTGTTGATAGTATTGATAGTGATGATAGTGATGACGGCATTGATGGTGATGATATTGTTGATAGTGATGATAGTGTTGATAGTGATGACGGCATTGATTGTGATGATAGTGTTGATAGTGATGACGGCATTGATAGTGATGATATTGTTGATAGTGATGATAGTGTTGATAGTGATGACAGCATTGATTGTGATGATAGTGTTTATAGTGATGACTGCATTGATAGTGATGATAGTGTTGATAGTGATGATAGTGTTGATAGTGATGACGGCATTGATTGTGATGATAGTGTTGATAGTGATGACAGCATTGATAGTGATGATAGTGTTGATAGTGATGACGGCATTGATAGTGTTGATAGTGATGATAGCATTGATAGTGATGATAGTGTTGATAGTGATGACGGCATTGATAGTGATGACAGCATTGATAGTGATGATAGTGTTGATAGTGATGATAGCATTGAATGTGTTGATAGTGTTGATAGTGATGATAGCATTGATAGTGATGATAGTGTTGATAGTGATGATAGCATTGATAGTGATGATAGTGTTGATAGTGATGATGGCATTGATAGTGATGATAGTGTTGATAGTGCTGATAGTGTTGATAGTGTTGATAGTGTTGATAGTTTTGATAGTGATGATAGTGTTGGTAGTGATGATAGTGTTGATAGTGATGACAGCATTGATAGTGATGATAGTGTTGATAGTGATGACGGCATTGATAGTGATGACAGCATTGATAGTGATGATAGTGTTGATAGTGTTGACAGCATTGATGATGATGATAGGACTTAACATAAAGTTACCATTCATTTTTAGCATATTTACACATTTAAAAATTTAAACGACAAATGTCTGCCTGGTCTTTCCTTTCGGCTTCCATAATGTCGTTTCCATGATCCGTCTTAATGTCCTTGAACCTGGAACTTTGCATCGGCGGACATCTGTGTTAGCTTAGGCACCAAAGTCACCGGCTTAACTCGAATGACCTGGGCCTTGCCGTCATCAAACCAGCAGGTCACGTGCAGCACATCTATGTTAAAATAGTACAAACTGTCCTGGCAGTGCTGACGTCTGTACACCGACCGGGGATCTTCTTGGATGATTTCCGCAATGGACCTCTTGGCCTCATCCGCATGATTGAACATGTGCAGCCTGTAGTCAGGATCTGAAGACTGTTGACTGAACTTGTTCAACTGATCCAAGGCTTCGCATGTGAATGTGATGCCGAGTTTAACTACGGGTGGATTCAACAACCAAGGGGCAACAAATGATGAAAATGTTTCAGTATTCGTTTTATGTGTTGCTTCCCCTGAACCCCTGCCACTTCGTCTCAGGTCACGTGATGACCTTTTTTGTTCAGAAAATGCTTTCTTTTCAGAACTGATTGTATCCTGCTTGTCTACAATGCCTCGGACATTAAAGCTTTTTATATCACTGTCAATCACATTTTGCCTGCTGCTGTCAGTAACATGTTGCCTGCTGCTGTCAGTAATATGTATGCTGCTGTCAGTAATATGTTGTATGCTGCTGTCAGTAACATGTAGCATGCTGCTGTCAGTCAAATGTTGTTTGCTGCTGTCATTCACAATTTGTTGAACCAAATCATCTTTGATATTGAAATCTAAACAATATTTGTTAACTGCCGTACTAACATCATCATCATCTGCTGCATTAAAGGTGATCTCTTGGACTTTGGGGGAAGCATGTTTTGAAATATCTGTATTATCCACTTTTGATTTGATTTCATTACCAGCTGCTAACACGTCTTTCATTTCTCCGGAATGAATCAAACTGAAAGAATCCTTGGGTTTGTCATAGTCAGGAATATAAGGCTTGATGTCTAGTACGGGGGTACCATCCAACAAATCAATCCCAGAGAAATGGACGGAACAACCTAGGGAAAGATGTCCCAAATATGCAATGAGAATAATTTTAATATGGAGCGAAAATGGTGGTTTGGATAGGAGTAAGAAAAAAGATTTTAAAAACACTATCAAGAGAATTCACTGACATTAGCTCTAAGATCAGAACATGACATTGTGTGTACGTCACACAAACCAAATATCTGATCAGATAAAAACAAAATAAATGGAACGTATTTTGATTACATTGTACATATTCATTGTCAGCACATGTATAAAAATTCAGATAAAGATAACTCTAAAATATTTTAAACAGAAGACACTTTAAAGTAATTCTCAAGAGCGAAAAATGGCCATCATACATCATAAACTTCACTTCAACCAACATGCATCCTAAAATTCACTTCAGCCATCACACATCCTAAACTTCACTTCAGCCATCATACATCATAAACTTCAGCCATCATGCATCATAAAATTCACTTCAGCCATCATACATCACAAACTTCCCTTCAGCCATCATACATCATAAACTTCACTTCAGCCATCATTCATAATAAAATTCACTTCAGCCATCATACATCATAGACTTCACATCAGCAATCACACATCATAAACTTCACTTCAGCCATCATAAATCATAAAACTTTACTTCCTTAATGACACTGTTGACTATAAGAGTAATAAGGTGATTTTATAAAAGCTGGGTGGAAAGCTGGAGAGGAGGGCATGCTGGTAAAGTCTGACAGTGTAGGGAAAAAAGCAACTTCTATTCTATATCTTTTGGATCTTACTTTGAGGAAAAAAATTTGTCCTGAGCGAAAGTAACAGTGATGTAGTGGGTGAGATTTGTCATCCACATTATTTAACTTATACAAATGCATTTTGTTTTCAATAATTCCTCAAGCAACTGATTAAAACAAGCCAAGAAGACGAGTGGGCGCCAACTGATTGAGACAAGCCAAGAAGACGAGTGGGCGCCAACTGATTGAGACAAGCCAAGAAGACGAGTGGGCGCCAACTGATTGAGACAAGCCAAGAAGACGAGTGGGCGCCAACTGATTGAGACAAGCCAAGAAGACGAGTGGGCACCAACTGATTGAGACAAGCCAAGAAGACGAGTGGGCGCCAACTGATTGAGACAAGCCAAGAAGACGAGTGGGCGCCAACTGATTGAGACAAGCCAAGAAGACGAGTGGGCCCCAACTGATTGAGACAAGCCAAGAAGACGAGTGGGCGCCAACTGATTGAGACAAGCCAAGAAGACGAGTGGGCCCCAACTGATTGAGACAAGCCAAGAAGACGAGTGGGCGCAAAACCCTGACAAAAACAAAACTCAGAAGAACAGAAAGGAAGTGAGTGGAGAAAGGAAGTGAGTGGAGAAAGGAAGTGAGTGGAGAAAGGAAGTGAGTGGAGAAAGGAAGTGAGTGCAGAAAGGAAGTGAGTGGAGAAAGGAAGTGAGTGGAGAAAGGAAGTGAGTGGAGAAAGGAAGTGAGTGCAGAAAGGAAGTGAGTGCAGAAAGGAAGTGAGTGGAGAAAGGAAGTGAGTGGAGAAAGGAAGTGAGTGGAGAAAGGAAGTGAGTGCAGAAAGGAAGTGAGTGCAGAGAAAGGAAGTGAGTGCAGAAAGGAAGTGAGTGGAGAAAGGAAGTGAGTGCAGAAAGGAAGTGAGTGCAGAAAGGAAGTGAGTGGAGAAAGGAAGTGAGTGGAGAAAGGAAGTGAGTGGAGAAAGGAAGTGAGTGCAGAAAGGGAGTGCAGAAAGGAAGTGAGTGGAGAAAGGAAGTGAGTGCAGAAAGGAAGTGAGTGGACAAAGGAAGTGAGTGGAGAAAGGAAGTGAGTGCAGAAAGGAAGTGAGTGGAGAAAGGAAGTGAGTGGAGAAAGGAAGTGAGTGGAGAAAGGAAGTGAGTGGAGAAAGGAAGTGAGTGCAGAAAGGAAGTGAGTGCAGAAAGGAAGTGAGTGCAGAAAGGAAGTGAGTGCAGAAAGGAAGTGAGTGCAGAAAGGAAGTGAGTGGAGAAAGGAAGTGAGTGCAGAAAGGAAGTGAGTGGAGAAAGGAAGTGAGTGCAGAAAGGAAGTGAGTGCAGAAAGGAAGTGAGTGCAGAAAGGAAGTGAGTGGAGAAAGGTAGATTTTAGACACACTATTGGCTAAAATAAAGACAATCAGTGCTCTATATAAATGTACTTTATTACAACTTTATGTACTTTATGTGAACAAAGATACATAAAATCTAAATATAAAGAAATGAATACAGGTCTAACACTAAGAATATCTAAAATCTCACAGTAATATAAACAATGCTATCACAACTCTAGGTTCCTGGAATTATTATTTCTGCTAACTATTGAATGACCCTATCTAGTACTTAGCCAATGCATTGGTCATGCATTGATATGCTCATCTCGTCTCTCTCCCACTGTAGGGGGATACACCAAGTATTTATACTTAATTTATACTCATTCATTTCGCTTGCTTGACTTTAAATGCAGGTTAATGTCCTTGGTAGATGCAGGTCGGGCCATTGTTTGGATAAAGACATATCACCTTTCCTGGAAGGTGGTAAACTGATACGGATAGGTTAATGGGGTACGTAAAGAAAATGGCCCTACCTTGTAACACAAAATACCAGAAACGGCAATGTCTAAAATTCCATTATGTTAGTACTATTGAAATGTTTGGAAATTGGACAAAAGGCTTTATTTATTTATGTTATAATGGTGTTCTCTAAAACTGTCTCTAAGGTGACGACCTGTCTCTCCTACATATATATTTACCTCACTTTTTACAAAGGATGGTTTAAATCATGTTGTGACTCGTGCAAGTAAAACCATCTTTGATTCTGAATGATTCCAAAGGGAAAGTGATCTTGTCAAATTTGATCATGTAGTGACATGTGTTACAGCGGCTACAGTTGCAACGATTGGTTCCCATATGCGCTTTAATAGCAGGAAGATGGCTTCTAACAAGCATGTTCTTAAGGCTCTTGTCCCTCGGGAAAGCAAAAATAGTTTTTTTAAAAATCTCACTGGTAACAGGGTCTGCCATAAAAATGGACCAGTTTTTGAGAACCAGAAAACGAGCTTTAAGGCTATGGGGATGAAAAGTTAAAACAAATTTAGATCTATCCCTACTTTCAGCATGAGTTACTTTAAACGAATCCCATCTGGTGATGTCATACCTTCCTTGAAACACAAGATACCTGTGATTCGAGGGACAGCTGCTTTTAAACAGTTTTTTTAACAGTGGTGCATACTGCAGCATGAGATTAGGACAGTAGGAAAGTAAGGGAAGCTATATCTTAAAATTAAATTATTTATCTGAGATTTTCTTCCCACCTTGAACGCTGTCGATCTTGGCCAGTGAGAGGCCAATATTATTGGGTCTGTATGGAGACCTGGTGGAGAAAACACCGATCCTGTGTCCATCTAGTCTTGGCGGCTTCACTTTGGCTTTGGTATGAACATTGTTGTTTTTGTGAAATACAAATATGATCCTACAAGAAAATGTTTAAGAGAATTATTTTAATTTCATTTCCTTGAAGACAATTTCTTTACTGTTATTCTTATAGGACATTTTTAAAGAGAATTTATTCGAACTACTGAATATTTTTTAACAGCATTTTTAAATAAAAGATAAATTCGAATAAAGTATGTCATTAATAGTAACTTATAAGACAAACTAACGTGAGTTTCTTTTATTGATTCAAAAGAATGGAAATTTGTTTTTATTACTGTGTACATTTTTATTTTCAGCGTATTATATAAAACTACCAACAGTATATAAATTTTTATTAGATATAATCTGAACTTTAAATAATCTATTGGCCATGTAAAAAATTCATACCATGCATGTGAAAACTGTTCGAGACCTTCTAATGAATGCTCAGGATTATTAAAAATATTTTTGTCAATGGTAAGAATTCCTCTAGCAGCTTCACACAATGAAGACTGACGGGGTGTTCCATTTTTGTAGTGGAAAACTGATCTCATAGTGCCAATTGGCCTCATTGTGATGTTTTCACACATCGGATCTGATAAGGAAACAAAACAAGAAGAGAATTATTACTCCTACTTTTTATTGTTTGCTATAATATTAGGCTCTATAGACATTTAAAAGATTACTTGGGTCTTCATGCCATTGTATAATTGATTTTACAATGAAATTATTATGTATAGATCATTTAAAATAAATGTTTGAAGTATGTATTTTACCATTTTTTGTTTTTACATTTAAAAGGCAAGGAAAACTGGATTGGGGTAAATTTTAATACCAATATCTCCAAATCTGATTATGTTAAAATTTGAAATTTGGTATAGATTTTAATTTGAAAATGAATAACTATCTTCTTTACTTATATACAATACAAGGAAAGGTGCTAACAACTTTTTTAAATAAAAAATTCAGGAGACAGCGTGTTGAAAGACGAGTGGAACATTAAAATATTAATATATTTTAGGAAAATGCAAAAAGTGTTTGTTAGCATCTTTTGGGGGGTTACCATCCCTAAGGTGCTTTAGTTTACTTAAAAAAATAATTTATTAAAAAAATATCAGTGTGTGTGGTGGATGTCTGAAGTTTTTGGATTTTCCCCAGGCAGCACAAAATATGCAAGAGAATGAGTGGTTTCATTTACTTGGTCTAGCAGTAGCAATATCTGAAATAAGGTACACACGGAAATTGGGTCGTAGATGGAAAGTTTTAAAACTAAGGAAATAATTTATCAATAATTTATTTAACTTTTACCGCAAACACTTTTAAAATATAGCTACAGTTCAGGATCAGTGATAAGGGGCGGTCACATTTTTTATGAGGATAACTGTATTTATATGTTTATATTTTAAAAATGTATAATAAACATGTAATATTAACCGTACCCATGCCTAATATTAACCAGTCTTGTAATTGTAAACAAAAAGGACTTCTTCAAAATTTGGAAATAAAAAAGACCTGTTCAAGGCAATGTAGCCTAATTACCTAATTAACACGATGATACATAATTTTTATATATCCATTTGATTTCTTACCAAAAATAAATAAAAAAACGCAGTTTGCTATTTAAAACAGATTTTATGAGCCGAAAAAAAGGTGGATTGCTTAAAATTTTAAAAAATGAATACCGTCCATTGGCTTTTTAAATTCTTTGATATAAACTTCCTAATAGAGAGAATAGTTTGTTATTTGGGTCTCTTCTAATTATTCTGGTTTTGAGCCAGGCGGAAGTGTACGTCAATAATTTCCCTAGCAACTTAGCAACTAATAGTAAGGACTTAGTTGTTCGGATATTATTTCCAATAATCATCCAGCATTTGGTCTTATTAATACAGAAGACATTTTAAAAAATAGACTAAACAAATGGCAAAGATATCCATGTTTCCATTATAGATTTAAATTCATTTAATACCAAATGATTTGTGAAATTCAATTTCAATCAAAACCTTTCACCTCCCTAAATCTAAAATTTGCATGCATTTTTAGTTCATTGAAATTTAATTTTTGTCTCTTTAAATAAATTAAATTTTAAATAAAAACTAAGTTAGTATTAGTAGGCTTAGTTACTAATAATACTTTTTATCAGGCAGCTAGGCTATTATAAATTATATAGTTAATTAATTAATTAATTTGGTTTTGTCATTTTCTCGACATACTAGTGACATACTATAGACTATAGACTATAGTAATAAAAAGTAGGCCTATATACAAATAAAATATAGTTAATTAATTAATTTATTTGTCTTTTTAAAATCAGATGGGAAAACCAGGCTGCTGTTAATTTGGATCATTAGAAAATCCATTTACGCCTATTACTTATTGTGGTTACATAATCAGAATAATCTCCTGATTACCATCCACATGTAAAGTAAGTAGTTTAAAGTAGGCACGAAAAAGAAGGTGACTCCAAAATACGACTTGAAACTGTCTTCATTGAGTTCCATTTAAGTTTCAAATGTCAAGTTTAACAGCTCATATTTATTGAAAAAAATAAATGAAGTAGTCTAATTAGTTTAATATTTGTAGCATATAATTTTAATACAGTGGTACTCAAAATGGGCATTACCATACCCTGGGCAGTAGGCCAGTAGCATTGTCCAGGAGGGTATTAAAAGCTTTGGGAGATTTTACAGGACACTGGCTAAATTTATCAGGGATTTCAATAAAAATAGATTTGCAGTTATTTGAAAAGATATAAATCTTTTTAAAACAAAATCTGTATTCCTTACTCTGGTTTTAAAATTGTCTCATATCGAGCACAATATTAGACTTTTCTTCTTTTACTAACATACCAAAACCATCATTCTAAGCGAGTAGGGAAAGGGAGATGCCATAGCACCCAAGTATTTTGCTATGTGTAGTCGAAAAACTATGTGTATTCAGAGCAAACTTGAGGATTTTCTTTTGAATGAAGTTATAGCATAAGTAAATAATTGCTACATTAATCAGCTTATTTTATCAAAGCCATAATATTAAAAAATTGCATTTGAAATTTGATTAAAATCAATGTTTAACTTCGAAATTAACTTTTTCAATTATCTTTCATAGAACGCCTGCAATGGGATAAATTATGGGAAAAGGAGGGAGGGGGGAAGCTCAGGATGAATATTTGTCCTAATGTGGCCAGGGCCAGTGTCATGAACAATTTTGGGAACCACTGTAATATATATTTAGCATTACAAACATTTATCTCTACAGATCAAATGAATAAAATTAAAACATAAGGACTCTTGTAGACTAGACCAGTCAAATATAATTTAGCTTTTTATTTTACTAAACATAATTTTTTACAGGTGTACATGACAACTTTGGAAATGCCTTCTTCACAAGAACAGCAGTATCAAAGCTCTATTCATCAACCTAAGGAATATGGCAAACTCCCCAAATATGGTCCACAAGTATACAACAAACCAGAGAAAGTGGATGATATGTATTGTCTCTTAGGAACTGGATTTAATGATACAGTAAGTGTTTTTTTCTGATTATTTTATATATCATATTTCTGTCATATGATTTTTTTCCCTACAAGAAAATGTTCCACATAGATGAGTCTGCACATGAATATTCTCCACATATTTTCTATTTGCTTCAAGTGCATCAGAAAAAAAAAAAAAAAAGGGGGGGGGGGTATACAACTCAAATAAAAATTAATTCCCACGCACACTTCATTGAAATACACTTTTTTAAATTTAAAATAGTGGAACTTCTATGATATTTGAACTATATGTTTTGTGTGGAATTTTCTTGTAGTGGTAAGTAATAATTCATTCACCGATATTTTATAGTAAGAGACAATCATTGCCTACTGATCACTGATGGTACAGTGGCTGTTATAATTTTTAAAATTCCATGAAATAGCACAACTATTGGGTTCTTATTCATTTACTTAAATTATTGTCAATATTTCCTTAAATTAAACTAGTCAAGAATTTTTTTTGAGATTGCCATAAATTTCATCTGTTTCTATAATTTTCCATGTTAAAATGTGTTTGAATGAATGTTGACTGCATAGGCACATATTAAATCCGATATTAAATCTGATTTTATTTTATTTCCAGGCAGACATACAAAAACGAATTCAAAAAGTTCTTGGTCCCTTGTCTTTATTTGCACCATTCAGTAATGAAGATGGTGAGTTTTGGGAATTATTTTGTCTTTCTTTTATACTAACGGTAATTAATGCATTTGTTTACTGACTAAAATAATTGATTTTTATAGTTGACTGATCCATCCATTTATCTATTCCACAGTGCCAGTTGTCCCTTCTTTAGAACTAGAGAGACCTGTAACACCTATAGATGTAAGGGGAAAACTTCTAGTTCCATATTCTAAATAACACGTAACTTTTCACAACTAAATATTCTTCCAAAATTTTTGCTATTTAACACAAATAAATCAGTAGCTGATGAGAGATCCTGTTTTTTTCTTACAATAAATCATGGATTTTTCTCATTTAAGGAGGAAATAAAAATTCTGCCATCTACAATGGATAAGATGGCTTCTTATGTTCGTAGAAGAATTACCCCTAAAGCAGATGTGCCATACTTGTCCACAGAGGATCAAAAGAATCTGGTATATAGAAATAGTTTCCTTAAGTTATAAGATAGTTATTTGTTGAAAATACTAAACTAAGAATGTGATTTAATGTTTTCAAGTAAAGATGTAATTATGATCCATATTCTTTTACAAATGAAATTTAGATTTACTATAAGATAATTAAAAAGATGAAGTTGTATCTATCATTAAAAATATACAAAATTTGAATTCTCTTCAGTAGACAATGAGCAAGTGATACTAGTCTAGTTATGAGCTGAACCAAAGTGTCTATTAGAACCAACCTTATTGACTGGTGGATCCCTTTGTAGAATCAATTTCTATGTGGGAGACACCAAGGCCTACAATTATGTGTGAGCCACCTGGGCCTACACAGTGTGTTAGCCACCTAGGCCTACATTATGTGTCAGCCACCTGGGCAATGTGGGAGCCACCTAGGCCTACACTATGTGGGAGCCACCTAGGCCTAAACCATTTGTCATTTGGGAGCCGCCTAGACCTATGCCTACACTAAGTGGGATTCACCTAGTCTACCAACCTACCTTCCTACCAACCTACCAACCTGTCTAAGTCTATGTGACATTTTTATACGTTTTTGTTTTTCTTTTTTTGTTGTACATAGGCTGCGATTATTGTAGGGGAGGTAAATGCTATCTGGCCTGACATCCGACATCAGATTGATGACCCCTTTTTGGTAATTTAAAACAATTTATTTTAATATAAATAATAATAATCATTGTTACTGACTTTCTTCGTGTCTTTGAATTTTATATATTCACCATCATCCCCCCTTCACTATCATTTGATTTCCACTATGACCGTCATTGGAGGTGCGTGCCCCCTACCCCCCACTTTTTTTTGTTCATCTTACCCTACCCTTGAGTCTACCCTGCTCTTACTTCTTACTTTATGTTTCACACCTTCATCAAATTTGTACTTTTACTGTCAGAGTCCAGAGGACAACAAGGAGTTAAACAGACGTATCGCTGTGCACATTGTCACAGTCTGTCAACAGATCTTCAGTCATTATCTTTCTAAAGCTCAAGGCAAGTATCACATTGTCACAGTCTGACAAGTATTTAAATTTAAAATTGTTAAAAATCCATTTCCTTTAACACTTTAAATTTGCTGTTTTTTTGCCCGTTGACTTGACAAGGACCACATTGACTACACTGGTTATTCAATGGCTGCTTATGCTATTTCTGTCTGTGAGAGCTCAGATCTGTCTGTGGGAGCTTAGATTTGCCTCTGGGAGCTTAGATATGTTGGTTGGAGCTCAGATCTGTCTGTGGGAGCATAGATCTGTGTGTGGGAGCTTAGATGACTAAATTTGTCATTTTTTTCAAATTAAATCATTTTGTGCCATGGTTGCCATGGGTGTCCAAAAATAAATAATAATTTGTGATATCATTGAGAGCTCTCCTGTCAGTGAGGTATTCTTTTGAACAAAAAAAATTATCTTGATGCCAAGTTGGATTAATTATAGGCTGTGGATTTTAGGTGTAACATAGTTTCATGCCCAGATATCAGAAGTACTTATTAGATAATGCATGTATGACTAGCTATTATACCTATAGCTATATAGATATTGCATGTGCACTAAACATACAAAACAATAATTAATGTGTATTGGCTTTGACAGCCTTATCAAAGTGAGAAAAATAAGGGAATTGATTCTATTAAATCTCCCACTGCCGTATTGAAGCCAATTTAATTCTAGTTTTTTATAATTTATAGTACTGAATAGCCGTGGTGTCTTCAGTGGACCAGCGAATATGAGTCGGCTTAAGGCACAACTTGCATTGGAAACAAGTGAATTGTAAGTTTTAACATCATTAGAGACATGGCAAATGTATGTTTTATTATCATTAGAGACATGGAAACTGTAAGTTTTACCAAACATGGAACATATCATTGCATTATGCTCTGCTCAACAGCTGCACAAAATAAAATTCCCAATAGCTGCACTAAATGAAAAGTACAGCAAGTGCATTTGGTGCGTAGTATTTTTTTTTGTTTTAGGAAATAGTCTCAATTAAAATATGATGTAATAAATCTGGATGTTAAAGGGGGTGGGACATTAAAACAGTAAAAAAGTGTGCTGTAGCATTCCTGGGGAGGGGGGGGTGCATCATCCCTGGGGTGCTTTCAAATTTTTGTATTTTCCCTCAGATAGACCAAGATACACTACAGGATGGGTGGATGCATTTTTATGGGGAAAGCTATATCTCAATTGATTTATAAATATAGATAGTTTTAAAACTAATGAAATAATGTTTTTAACCTTCTTCCCAAAACATATTCCTAGGGAAGGAAAGGAGGTGTGTACATGTTTATGTGGATGACTATGTCATTAAATCCTATGATATTGCAGTAGGGAAAAACAGGTTTTAGATTTCCTTTAAAAATCCATAAATATGTGTTATGTAGGAAAATACAGTTTAAAGGGCATTGACACATTGTGGGTACATTTATATTAGTGTGTCCACCATTGACACATTGTGGGCACATTTCCATAAGTGTATCCACCATTGACACATTGTGGGCACATTTCCATAAGTGTGTCCATTGTTGACACATTGTGGGCACATTTCCATAAGTGCACCCATACCTCAATGAAGTTGAGAAGTAGAAAAGATTTTCTGAGAAACTAAGAACATCAAGATTTTTCCATAGATGCAGTTCAGGGGGAGGGGATAAAGGGTGGGCACTTATATGATCACAATATTTTTGTAAACATCTTGTCAAAATACATTTTGAAGTGTGAAAAAAAGAGGGGGAACATTTTTTATGTGGATAACAATATATCAAAAGCCAATTATTTTACAGACGTAAGAATTTAATCTTTAAAAATAGATACTACATATTTTTCTTTCCCAAATATGCATTTCAGGGACATGTACAAATAGGGCTAAATTTTCTTTAAAAATAAGAATAATTATTTTTTTTACATTTTGCACAAAATTTAGTTTAGGTTCATAGTAAGGGTGGGTAAATTTTTATGAGGTTAAGAATATTTCTAAAAAAGACAAGACTGTTACAGACTTGATGATTGGTTAAGAGATTCTTCTATAAATATAAGAATTTAGTTCTTTTTCAATTTTCCAAACATATATTTCAGGAGTGAGGCTTAAGGGTTGGTAAATTTTCAATGAAGATACCAATATATCAAACTTCATTTATTTTACATATCTTTAAACTGGGTTAATTTGTACAATTTTCAGAAATATTATTTTTTTATATTTCAGGGGCACAAAAGGGGTTGGGTAGGCCTATATTATATAGAAGATACAAATGTATAAAAACCTAATGCTGTTGAATACATTAAAATTTATACATAGATACATCTTTAATATAAGGAAAGGAAAATTCACCATTTCCTAAATATATATTTTAAGAGCATAGAAAATTGTATTTTTTTTTTTTTTTTTTGAGGATACAAAATATCAAATCCCGATTCAATTACACAGGTAAAAATTGGGCTTTTATATGATGATAATTCATAACAGAAGGTAGAAAGTAGCGCAATATGGCTTCCATTATTACACAGTAACATATCTTATCATATTAGAACAAATTTCCATCTCATATTTCAGACTCAACATCTTGAAGATCCGACGGTATATTGTGAATGATATTAAAACTTCTAGTCCTAGTAGGACTGTGGAAAGAGATGGTTCTGTCACTTTGTCACCACAAAAACCTGTTACATCAGCAAAAAAACTGACCTATCAGGCAATGGTACATGACAAAGCAGTTTTGTATAGATGTTGTCATAAAGTTTTGCGTAATTAAAACTCATTCAAATGACATATGTTACATTGGTATGACTTATCAATTTCATCTAGATGTCATCCCTTTTAGCCCATAAGACTTTTTAAAAGTGTCCAAATTATGTGACACCATTTTCAGTTAGTTAATTTCCTTAAATGAACAGTAAAGGTCACAAGTAAATGTGACAGGTAAAGGCCGCAAGTAAAGTTGACATGTAAATGTGACAGGTAAATGTGACAGGTAAAGGTGACAGTTAAATGTGACAGGTAATGGTGACAAGTAAAGGTGACAGGTAAAGGCAACAAGTAAAAGTGAAAAGTAAAGGTGACAGATAAAGGTGACAGGTAAAGGTGACAGTTAAAGGTTTATTAATTCTTTCTGTTGTTCTTTCCTTTAATCTGTAGTAAATCCTTGATATTGTTGATTATTGACATTGTTGATCTTGTGAATATCGTTGATATGATTTGATGTTGTCACAGTTGGAGATGAGTCGGCCCAAGTCTAGACATCAATTTCCTGGACTCAACTCTGTGGATCAAGCACTAAAAGAAGTAAATATAACAGTATCTTGTTTAGTTATCCAATCCACTGGATTTATTGTCAGAACTCACTGCATAAAACATGATAAATATTTTAAAAAAGTAAATTTTTATCTGTTGTCATATTAAAGTTATATCATTTTGACATGTTGTCACATTAACATTTTAATATTATGACATGTCTAAAACACATTACTTCTACAGTGGGGATCATAACCTAACATTATCAATGCTTATCTTAAATTCATGTTATCTTAACTTTTCCCTTATGTAAAATGTTCCTGAGAAGTTCCCTGATGTAAATGGTTGGTCAAAAGTTCTCTGATGTAAACGGTTGCTAAGTTCCCTCATGTAAATTGTTCCTAAGTACCCTGGTGTAAACGGTTTTATTTTGCAAATCATTCCTCCAGATGAAGGAGAGTATGCCTGTTTTGGACAAGAGTCACTTGATGAATCTTATTGCAGAACTCCCAGAGAGGGACTTGCACACACCTGAAGAACAAGGTTCGTAGGCAAAGGTCAAAGGTCATTGTCTAAGCTGTTCTTTGGAAGAAGTGGATGATAGGGTTCAGGGAGTGAGGGGGCTTGCTATGAGGCTAAGTAAAAGGAAATAAAAAGCGCAATGAAGGGGAAAATCTGGGAAAAAAAAAAACCATGGACTTGTCGTTAAAAAGCCTTTTCAGAGAAAATAAATAAGTGAACAACAAAATAAACTAATAATAACTTATCTGATGCTGTGGTGTGTTAAGAAAAATATGGGAAAAGGTCACGTTCAATGGTTTTTCCCTCTTTTCCAGATTTTCCCATACCTTGCGCTACTTATTTTCCCTACCTTGTGCTACTTATCTCCACTATCTTGTGCTACTTATCTCCACTGCCTTGTGCTACTTATTTTCCCTACCTCCTGCTACTTATCTCCACTACCTTGTGCTACTTATTTCCTTGAAAGTGGAAACTATGGGGAGAAAAGAGAGAATTAAAATTATAAAAGAGTTTAAACCATCAAATGTTAGCATAAGGTCACTCACCAATTCATTATTTTACCTTCCAGGAGTTTCCACACGGACATTTCATGGCTCCAAAGTCAGTTCACTACTTTTTGGGTGAGATATTATTATTTTATTCACCATACAAAGTAATAATTATTCATAAATATTTTGCTATACTCAAATTCAATGGTCATTTTTTTTTTTAAATTTAAAAACATTATCTACATGTTTGTAATGTAAAAAATTATCGACATGTTTGTATAATTGATTGTTTGTATAATTTACTTTTTGTGTAGTTAATTGTTTGTATGACTTATTGTTTGTGTAGTTGACTGTCTTTATGACCTGATTGTTTGCTTTAAATGTAGGGTCTCAAAAGAAGATGTGTCAAAGAAAAAGATAATTTACAGAGTGAGTAAAATTATGTTTTTAATTTAATATTTTTAATGTTCATATTTCTTCATGTTCATATATATTCTTAGCACTAATTTGTTTCATTTTATAGCATGAATAGTTAGAAATCAAAGTTTTACGAATTTGCATTCTTTGTTATACAATTTTTTCATCTATAAAATTATCTTTTTTCTGGATTACATTTTTTGGGGTGTTTTTTTAAATATTTTGTATTATTTATATTTTTAATTATTTTTATTTTTTAAATGAATCCTTTTTGCAATTTTTCTTTTATTAGCAAATTATTTGTTAGAAATCCATGTTACGCTAGCTAGATTTTTCAACAGGCATTTCCTATCTGCCATCTTTTTTTTTATTAGATTTCTTTTGTTTTCAAATATTTACCCAAATGGCATAATAATTATACAGTTTAAGAAAAATGTTTACATCTCAAATAATTACTTTTTGGAGAGTGAAACAAAATCACTGATCAGATAATTAATTTTTTGAGAGTGAAACAAAATCACTGATCAGATAATTAATTTTTTGAGAGTGAAACAAAATCACTGATTGAATAATAACTTTTTGGATGATGAAACAAATCACTGATTAAATAATTACTTTTGGAGAGTGAAACAAAATCACTGATTAGATAATTACTTTTTGGAGAGTGAAACAAAATCACTGATCAGATAATTAATTTTTTGAGAGTGAAACAAAATCACTGATTGAATAATAACTTTTTGGAGTATGAAACAAATCACTGATTAAATAATTACTATTGGAGAGTGAAACAAAATCACTGATTAAATAACCTCCCATTTCACACATGAAGTTGAGAAATATTTCATACTGTTGTACTTACATTTAAAGGATGACAAGAAATTATTGGATAATAAACCATTAATGGTTGTAGAAATAAAAACTATGCAGGTAAGTGTACAATGATATGCTGCTTTTTCAAGGTTTCTCTTTGTGTGATGACACTTAATGATGTGAAGAATCAAGCTAACAAATATTTAGCTTGGTCTTTTAAGCAAGCTACATAACAATTATTGAGTTTGGTTACAATAAGCAAGCTACTTAAAATTATAACAATTACTTAGTTTGTTTACAAAGCAATTTACATAAAAATATAACAATTATTGAGTTTGGTTTCATTAAGAAAGTTACATACCAATATAACAATTATTGAGTTTGGTTAAGTCCCATAAAAATATTTTTTTCACTCATTTTATTACATACTTATTTAAAAAAAAAAGATTTTGCTTCTTTATTGATGTGTTATATTTCCCTAAATTTATCCTCTATTTTATCTTCACGGATTGAATTATAATCTTTATCCAGAAATTTATATGACAGAAAATTATTTGCTGGAAATTTCATCAAAGAACCCCTCAATGTTTTTATTTATAAATACAATTATATTTTCTGCTGTGCCGAGTTTTAAGTAATATATATATATAAAATTATATATATGATAATTTATAATAAATATGCACATTGAAAAAAAATATTTATAATTTAGCAACATGTCAGTACTTTGCATTTGATCTAAAATATTATAGAATACAACATTACCTAATGCAAAACACTTCTTTTTTTTATTTTAGCGATGCCATTCTCAACCCCTACTTTTTCTAGGAGAAAGTCTGATGGAAGAGCTGGGTATAGACATAAGTGTGAGGCAAGATAAACTGATTGAACAAGAGCTGGCATATCTGCAGAGAGAAAGACTGAACAATGCCAAAGTAAGTTCTGTTATATTTCAGAACTTAAAGTTATCTACTAATGGGTCGCTATTAAATGGGGATGAAAGGTTGTATACAAAAATTCACTGGAACTAGGAATATTTAAATTTTTGTAATTTCAAGCAAACTAGCTTATTTTCATGAGTCTGTTGAGACTAATTCTGAAATGCAGTGGCTTGTGGCAATAGTACAGCTGGGGTTAAATGATGGGCAACAAAAAGGCTACTTTTGTTTGAATTTACTGTGTTTTAATTTACATATGATAAAATTGATATAGACATCATATGAGATTGTGTTTCATTCCACTTTGAAGTCAAGTAGGAAGGGTTTTTTGTAATGCTGTATATTTTTTCCAAAAAATAAGATTGTCAAAATCACAATAAAGAATAAATAAGAACCGTTTGGTACTTGAATATTTAGTAAGATATACTCATATATCTATTATTAAGTATAATGGCAATGGTGACCATCATTTACCCTACTAGAGTTTTATTTAAGATTTTCGTCTAGTTTGATCAAAATAATAATTAATTATGATCTGATGAATTTACTGAAGTGTTTGTCCTTTATAAAAATAAATACTTGGATACAAATTGAACACACATACTTATATTTTATTTAAATAACAGGAGGGCAGGTTGAACAATTTTGGAGTCTGAAAATAAATACTTTTTTTTTACTTAGAAAAACTTTGTAAAGAAAGTTTTGTGAGCTATACACAATATTACGATGTGTTGATTATCAGGTAAAACTAAACTCACAAATAACCAGCCAACTTGGCAGCAGTCTCAGTCGAGATTTCATTGAAGATGACCTGAACAAACTGACACAACAGCAGCAGGATCAACTGCCAGATGAGGATGATGACTTACCTCCTTTGATTCAAGTAAGAATTTTGAAATAAATATAGAAACTGATAATGTACAGAAATTTAAAAGTAGAAGCATGAAAACTGCTAATATTTTAAAAGTTACCTGTTTTACAATTATTTGTTTACATAACAATTTTCAAAAAGAGGATAAAGGAAATAAAATATTTATTATGTTAAAAAAACTGTGCAACAATGATCAATTTTAAAAAAACTGTCTAACAATCATATCTTATTTAAGTTAGTTTCATAAACTTTATTGCTATGAATTGAATGTTTTGAGATTAAAAAATCTTTAATTTTTTAATAATTTATATTATACCTTACTTAAAAAGTTATGGCATTAAAAGCATTTGAGGTTGAATGCACTGACAGAAGATTCATGGGTTAACAAAAGATTCATGGGTTAGCATTACATTGATATGGAAAATGTTACTGCCAGCGCTTGAACTTTATTGAGAGATGATTTTTTTTTCTAAAACGTAGGCCATAACTCGACATGCCAAACATGATGATTTGAAGATCAGGATGGACACACAGATGAAAGAACTGGAAGACAGGCAGAAACTGAGAGAAGAACAAGAATGGTAATATCTCTATTTCTACTGGAAGATTAATTGTTCACAATAGTTTGCATTCACTTTACTGTTACCCATGAATATTCACAATAGTTTTTATTGATCTTACATCTTGTTATCATGTTAACATAATGAGTCTGCAAAAATATTCACTACTTAACTAGTATGCCAGATTTTTCTCTATTCACAGTGTTTAAATATTTCACAATTCATGTAATTCAGTGTTCCCAGTTTTAGCATACTTTACTATTCACATAACATATTTCACTATTCACGCACATGAACCTATTTCACTCTTCACAGTGTATATGTTCGAGACCCAACTTACCCACAACCAGACACAGTGAACGCACGCTTTGGGACAGCTGTAAGCTCACTGCTTCTTTTATGTTAAACATTTGCTTAGTAATTACCTATTTCAACAGCTTCATCTGTCAACTTCATTATCACTTGGCCTTTTTGTACCTCACTTCTGCATCTTAGAAACATAACACCCGTTATAAGTTAAATATCAACAATAAAAAATTTCAATACAAAAAAAAACCAGAAGATGCTTTACTATATGGCGGTAAACAACTTTTCTTTCCTGGCTGCAGATTTTTGTTTTTGATATTCTGTGGCCCTGTGAGTATACAGCTGTAAAACATTTGGTTTTCTAATGTTATTTTATTGACAACACCTTGCTGGTTCAGTGTTGCAAATGTCTCTCTTGATATAGTTTCTTCATTTAAGAATTTAAAACTATATATTACCACACAAAAGTTCACTTGTCATAGTTAAAAAACTATATATTAACACACAAATAGTACTCACTTGTCATAGTTATAAAACGATATGTTACCAAACATATATTTCATCTGGAGGTGTAATAAAAGAATAAACATTATGTGCATTTCATTTCTTTGTAATCCCTCATTACATTCATTGATGATCAATGGCCACACCATCAACTAGAGAGATAACAATTAGAGGAAACGGACTAAACCACATACAAGCTACTTCATATCTTTCTATTCTTTCACATACAAGCCACCTCATCTCACTCTATTTGATCACATACAAGCTACTTCATCCTATCACATACAAGCTACTTCATCTCATTCTATTCTATCACATACAAGCTATGTTATCTCATTCTATTCTACGACAAGCTACTTCATCTCATTCTATTCTATCACATATAAGCTGCTTCATCTCAATCTATTCTAGATGACTTGTTGTTGATATGTTTTTGTTCTCTAAATATTTCTTAGATATCACTGAGATTTTTACATAGAAGTCTTAAAGGATAATGTAGTAGAGACTGTGCTATAAGCAGACTTACACAGTTTAAAGAATAATATAGTAGAGACTGTGCTACAAGCAGACTTACACAGTTTAAAGAATAATATAGTACAAAGTGCTTTCCAGCTGTGTCAAAGATATATTAATAAAATTGTATTGCTGAATGGCTTCATCTGTAAAATTTAGCTGCAGTTGAAAAAATTTTTTACCAACATTTTATTCCTACATGTGGGCGATTTATATTTATTTATTTATTTATGTATCTCATTTCTTTTGGGAATCCTATTTAAAATATCTGTAACCCATAAAACTATAGATATAAGTTAATCTGAATTTAAATAGCTTGTTAACTTCTGGTCTGAACAGGGCATAGTAAGGACCTCTGACATACGGGTGTCTGAGAGAGTCTGTATGTCATCAATCACCCTGAAGAAACATGCAACGGTCTACAATGACCTGCTGGAAGAGGTGAGAACATTTGGTCCATGTACTTGAAGTAACACAGGAAAATATGGAGTTATGCATCACTGATTTCTAGTGCTAGAACATGTAGTTATGGCTGATTACATCTTGTTCTTTGCTATTTCAATACTATTTAATATACTCTAAAAAAGTGCTGTCCAGGGTGGATTCAAATGGCCTATCACAGCTCCTGTGAAGACTTTACAAATGGGGTAAAAAATAATGCATGTTAGCATTGTTCAAGGTCTCGGGGGGTGGGGGGGTGGGGGGAAGGGGGGGGGGCTCTATTCAAGTGACTTGAAATTTAGGAGTAGTTAATGTTCTGCACATCAGCAGAGTTACTGTTCTTTGATTGTGGAAATGTCTCAGTAAACAAGGGTTTAAAAGTTGGTTCATTTCAATTTTTGTGCAGATAAATGGGGGGGGGGGGGGGGGGGGGGGGGGGGGGGGGGGGCTCTATTCAAGTGACTTGAAATTTAGGAGTAGTTAATGTTCTGCACATCAGCAGAGTTACTGTTCTTTGATTGTGGAAATGTCTCAGTAAACAAGGGTTTAAAAGTTGGTTCACTTCAATTTTTGTGCAGATAAAGAAAATGTACATGCAGTAGTGAGTCATTTTTCAGAACTGATTTTGCCGGGGATGTTTCCTGGTGTTTGTAAGCAAATGAGCCATGCCAATGAGCCATGCCAATGAGCCATGCCAATGAACCATGCCAATGATACATGCCAATGATACATGCCAATGATACATGCCAATGATACATGCCAATGAGCCATGCCAATGATACATGCCAATGAGCCATGCCAATGATACATGCCAATGATACATGCCAATGATACATGCCAATGAGCCATGCCAAGGAGCCATGCCAAGGAGCCATGCCAATGAGTCATGCCTATGAGCCATGCCAATGAGCCATGCCAATGAGCCATGCCAATGAGCCGAGCCAATGATACACATTATGCTCATTGCAAATGATAATACTTTTTTAGCTATACAAACAGAAAAACAGATAAAATAACTATGCACATCTTTTTCATAAAAATTATTCAACATTCAAATTGATGTTAGCAGTTATTCAACATTCAAATTGATGTTAACAGTTATTCAACATTCAAATTGATGTTAACAGTTATTCAACATTCAGATTGATGTTAACAATTATTCAACATTCAGATTGATGTTAACAATTATTCAACATTCAAATTATATTAACAATTATTCAACATTCAAATTATGTTAACAATTATTCAACATTGAAATTGTGTTAACAATTATTCAACATTGAAATTGTGTTAACAATTATTCAACATTCAGATTGATGTTAACAATTATTCAACATTCAGATTGATGTTAACAATTATTCAACATTCAGATTGATGTTAACAATTATTCAACATTCAGATTGATGTTAACAATTATTCAACATTCAGATTGATGTTAACAATTATTCAACATTCAGATTGATGCCTCAACTGTCAAAAACCTGGACAAGAATCTTTTCCTTAGTTCTGAGATACAAGAGGTGTATGAGGAAATTATGAAGACAGTGCCAGCCTCACATATGGAACTAGATGATGTATGTGATACGTTTGAATACATTTCTAAGTTTTAAAATAAGATGATTGTATCTTTCATGAATTGCTGGGCCAGCATCCATTTAACTCATTTAACTTGGTTTCTAATAATCCTTTTCAATTGATGATAAAAATTAACTACTTTCAAGAAAACTAATGTAAATATATTTAAAAAAAAATATTTTAAAGATTTTTAGTTGCATAAGATATATAACGACCAAATAAATTTCTGCTGATTAGAGTAAACTGACTTATCTACTTGTTGTTTTCTCTTGTATTTTCTTTTCACTTTACAGTTGAGTTACAAGGTAATAATACGTTCAGAATTATTATCATTATTTTTTTCCTACTTTTTTCTCTGCATTATTTTTTTTTGTATTTTTTGTATTTGAATTATTATAAAAAGACTTTGAAAATAAATATTTTGCTTGTAATAAGAATTAAATTATATTTTTCATTACTAATCTTTATAGGTTTCAATTAAACAAATATTTCTGCAATTGCACTTTGGTTATGAAGCTCAAATTATTGTTTTTTTCCTCACAAGTATTTTTTGCATCTTTCTTAGTTCATTTCCAAATTATTGCTCTTAAATTTTGCTCTATGTAGTTTAGATCAAATCAAATTTTGTACAACACAAATAAAACTAACTTTATACAAAACAAATAAAACTAAATTTCTGCAACACAAATAAAACTAACTTTTTACAAAACAAATAAAACTAAATTTCTGCAACAGAAATAAAACTTACTTTATACAAAACAAATAAAACTAACTTTCTGCAACACAAATAAAACTAACTTTCTGCAACACAAATAAAACTAACTTCTGCAACACAAATTAAACTAACTTTATACAAAACAAATAAAACTAACTTTATACAAAACAAAAATAACTAACTTTATATAAAACAAATAAAACTAACTTTCTGCAACACAAATAAAACTTACTTTATGTGAACACAATGATTTAGTTTTATGCTGTAATAAAATGGTCGAGGGGAGATCATTGGTTTTTAAATATTTTTTGTGAATGAACAGGTTACAAATTATTGAATGAGAATTTCTGGAATTGAGGGGGATTTTTTATATAATAGGTGAAATTCTCACCTGACTTTCTAAACACAACAATCTCAATCCAAAAATATGTTTCACTGCTTGATATTTTATTTTAAAAAAAGACTTGCTAACATTTTTACAAAAATTGGGTTGTTTCACTATAATTAACACAAAATATTTAATATTTTTAATGATATAATTTGTGAGCTTTTCACCTTTATATGTTTGAGTCTTTATAAAATGCTTAAATAATTTCTTTGTTTTGTTCATCTGCTTACAATACAAATTTGATTGATTTGTTTATGTTATTCCATAACAGGAATGACTTAAATATAGTTTAAACTTGTTAGAGTTGTTAAAAGTTGTGCTAACAAACTGCACTGGTTAGTTGTGTTAACTAACAATGCTTGTTGGGTGCTGGGTAGCTGAGGGGTCTAAACTGACTCAATCCAAAAAGCCTTAGAAGCAGAAACATCCCAAGCACCCCGGGTGGATGAGACTTGTTAGCCTTGGACGGCAACTCATCTAAGAGAAGTCAAACAAGCTTGCTTGTTAGTTGTGTTAGCAAACTATGCTGGTTATTTGTGATGACAATTTATGCTGGTTTGTTGTGTTAAAATGCTATGCTGGTTTTTTGTGTTAACATGCTATGCTGGTTTGTTGTGTTAACATGCTATGCTGGTTTTCTGTGATAACAAACTATCCTGGTTAGTAGTATAATGCTTTTTAAAAAAAATTTAGGATGTTGTAGAGCAAAATCCTATTAACTATTAGCCACTTACCTGAACAACTGAAATCATACAATAAATACAATAACAAAACAAAGTAAAATATAGAAACTTTGGAATTGTTACGTAGATTCAGATTTTATGATATAAAAATAGATGACAGATGAAAATGATTATATCAATAGATGACAGATGAAAATGATTATATCAATAGATGACAGATGAAAATGATTATATCAATAGATGACAGATGATTATGATGAAAAAGTGAGAATCAGTCAAATCATTATTTTGATCATTCAGGATCCATTAGTGTTAAATGCACCTGATGTGATTAACATCACTGGAACAACGGCATCATGCACACTGTCAAGGAAGGTCATAGACAGAGTGATCAATCCTACTTTCAGAAATGGCAATGGTCCTCCCTGGGGGGATAATGCTATGAGGGATTGGGCCAAGACGTAAGTCTCTTCTTTCAGCGAAAGTTCTTTGCTGACGGAGTTGTATTTGTTTTGTTTTGTAGAGTTAAGTTTGTACCAAACCATTTTAGTTCATTACCCACAATGCAAATGTTTATTTGTTGATTTGAGTTAATGATATCATTAATACATAAAGAAGCAAAGTTTGTCATGTGTAGAATGACAGTGTAGAAAACTGTTATAAAACAAATAATTTAGTTCATGACACTGATGCAAACACTCTGATGGAAATTTCACTATTTTCAAACATTTTCATTTTTAGACCCACCAATCCACCTAAGAACTTTCTAGGTGAAGATCTATTTGCTCCTATAGTAAGTATCTTTGACAGTGTTGTATCTTTGCCCCTTATAGTAAGTATCTTTGCTCCTATAGTAAGTATCTTTGACAGTGTAGTATCTTTGTCCCTGTAGTAAGTATCTTTGCCCCTATAGTAAGTTTCTTTTACCCTATAGTGCGTATACCCAGTTTGTTATTGGTAAAACAATTTGAGAACCACTGATTGTTAATAGCATTATGAAATGTGAGAACAATTTAACATATTACATAGGAACATAATGTATGCACTATTATGAACTATTTAAACTAACGTGTGTAAATTGAATGTAATGACTACATTTCCAGGCACCAGACATGCCTAAAGTTCACGAAACTATCAACCACCCAAGTCAGACAACTCAAATGATTTTATCAGCCGATGGCATTCCAAGTTATGTTGCTGACAAGACATCTTCAACATATGCATCCTGGCTGCACTGGTGGAAGTCAACTGTGACCAGTGATGACTACATGAAATATTTGTCCACTCTGGTCAGCATTATTTCATAAATTCTATAGTTTATGTCTGTTACGCACTGGCTTCTCTTGTGAGAAAGTAATCTCCTATTTTAAATTTATGGCTCGTTCAAACAGTGCCTCACAAAGGACAATACCATAGATAAATACAATAACAAAATTACAACACCCAAAACAGTACCAATCACAATTAATAAGATTAAATTTAGTAATAATACAATTACAAAACAAAAGAAATATCATTACAAATCATCAACTTACAGTATGGTAGATCTTGTACCGGTACCGTACACAGTCAACACAGTTAGTACAATGTGCCAATTAATAATGTAGGTAAACTCTTGTTGGAGTCTTCAGAACATTCGGCTAGGGTAGAGGAAGTAAAACTCTGTGTAGAGTCGTGAAAACTTGCTGCACACAAGTCCTCGGTAAGATGCCCTCTGGAGGTAGACCTCTTCTTGGAGCAAAAGGATCTTGGCGACAAGCTCATAAAACTCGCAGTCGAAGCAGGAACTTGGCTGGAGTTGGTAAAACTAGCCTTATTGTTCATAAAGGAACTCTTTGATGAGTTGTGACAAACATCTTTGAAGTTTGTATGGACATCTGGAGAGCAAAAACTCTTGAATTTTGAAAATGTGTTTCCAGATGTATGATGTCTGCTAGGGATCTAATTTGGGTCAAGCAAAGTTCAAGCACAGGAAAATAGTTTACTACATGACAATATCTTAAATCCAGTGACCAGAAGGACATGTGTTTTGTTCATGAACATTTTCTTACTTGTAACGCTGAACATGAACAATTTCTTTCTATTTAACCTGAACTATTTCTTTCTACTTCTACTTAACCTGAACAATTTCTTTCTACTTCTACTTAACCTGAACTATTTCTTTCTACTTCTACTTAACCTGAACAATTTCTTTCTACTTCTACTAAACCTGAACAATTTCTTTCTACTAAACCTGAACATAAACAATTTCTTTCTTCTAACCCTAAACATAAACGAAGTCTTACTTCTAACATGAAACATATGACATGATTATTTTTTTTGATTTTGTCACAAACCAAAAATTAATTGATTTATATGATTTGGAATATGTTTGTCTAAAGTACTAGTGAATAGAATTCTGATAGTTTATCTTTTTTAGTGAAGAGCCATTTTATAAATGATATATGCTAGGAAAATATTTAGTAAGTTCCATGCAGCATGGATTGTTTAAGAGGCTTTTATAGATGGGTAAAAAAAGTTTAATAATGAAAAGAGCTGGATTTATTCCTTCAAAGAGCCAAATAATGCTCGTTGAGGTTAAATTGACAAGAGGGGCAAATTGTTAAGATGACCAAATGAAGTTAGCTTCATAGACTAAACAAAGTAGGTCACTACTAACAAACCAAAGTAGGTCACTACTGACAAACCAAAGTAGGTCACTACTGACAAAACAAGGTAGGTTACCACTGAAAATACAAAGTAGGTCACTACTGACATGCCAAAGTAGGTCACTACTGACAAAACAATGTATGTTACCACTGACAAAACAAAGTAGGTTACCACTGACAAACAAAGTAGGTTACCACTGAAAAAACAAAGTAGGGTACGCATATTAAAAGAATTAACTTTATTTTTAAGCAATAACATGAAATAAAATCTATAGAAACAGATATTGCATGAAATAGTTGGTGAATAATAATAATATGAAACAAAAATAAGAAAACTATTTTTACACTTAAATACAAAAGACATTAGAACTAACATAGCATGAGATAAAAGTTACTTAACTATTGTACAAAGTGTCCTTAATTAATTTTGGAAATTTTAAGGGAAAGACTAAAAGGCTAAATTATGACATAGTCAAAATGATTGATCCAAACATTGACATCTTTTGAGAACTATTGCCAAGGAAAACAATGTTGTCCTCCTCTAGGAAACTGATTACATGGGAGCAATATTTCATTTCTACGACTCTGAAGATGAAACTGAATCAGATGAAGAACAGGTCACCTACAAGATGCGCAGGTCAAAGAAAACCTTGTCCAGTGGGAAAACGAAAGTTTCTCCAGAACAAAAGTGAATTTCTTTTATTAAACGAATCATTAAAATTATATCATTCATTTTTAAACATTTATTTATCCATAGTATAATTATATATATATGTAAGAAAGGAGATTTTTTTTAAATGCATGGTCTCCAGATGTGTTAGGAGTGAAACTTCTTTAAAGGAAGTGCATAAAAGAGCAAATAGTAACACCAGTAAATAATAGATTATAACAGTTCCATTTCATTCAATTAAATCTGACCTTGACCTTGTTGACCTCTTTATACACACTGTATGTTCTGTAAAAATCTGTATCTGACAAAGTAAAAATTGCTCATATCAGTTTCTGCTCATGTCAGTCTCTGCACATATCAGTCTCAGCTCATGTCAGTCTCTGCTCATGTCAGTCTTTGCTCATGTCAGTCTGTGCTCATGTCAGTTGAAACGATGGGAACCAATTTATAATTTAGAAAATACTATTTTTATTAATATTTCATTACATTAGAAAACAATTTTTTTTCATAACTGCAATAGATGGATAAAGAGCATTTAATTTGTGTTTAATAAAGTCTAAAGACAGTAATGAAATCCATTTCAGACAAAAACTAAAAAAGTTGGAAGAATTGAAATCAGTCAAGTCTGAGTATAAGGCAGGATTCTGGAATCCAAACTCTGTTTTGATGGGTGGCCTTGGTCAAGATCCAGATTTGACAGGTGAGTTTTTGTTTTCCCTTAAAATTATCATTAGACCAGAATGTAATATTTTAAAGATATTCCTTTAAAATTAGTTTTTCTACAACAAAAGAAGTTCATTGAGCAATTGAATCAAATGTTATACTATAACTCAACAATTGAATCAAATGTTATACTATAATTCAACAATTGAATCAAATGTTATACTATAATTCAACAATTGAATCAAATGTTATACTATAATTCAACAATTGAATCAAATGTTATACTATAATTCAACAATTGAATCAAATGTTATTCTATAATTCAACAATTGAATCAAATGTTATACTATAATTCAACAATTGAATCAAATGTTATACTATAATTCAACAATTGAATCAAATGTTATACTATAATTCAACAATTGAATCAAATGTTATGCTATAATTCAACAATTGAATCCAATGTTATTCTATAATTCAACAATTGAATCAAATGTTATACTATAATTCAACAATTGAATCAAATGTTATACTATAATTCAACAATCAAATCAAATTTTTTAATGCTATAAACCCATCACAGAATCAATTTTTTGTTATGCTATAAACCAATAACAGAATTAATTTTTGTTATACTCTAAACTAACAATTGAATTAATTTTGGTTAAGCTATAAGCCAACAATTAAATCCTTTTTTTAATGCTGTAATGTATAAACCACCAATTTGTTTTGACAGAGGAAGCCATGGAAAGAGGAGCAAAGAAATCTGTCCATAGTGATACCTTACTAACAATTCCAGATAGAGGAAGCCATTTCAGACCATTGTCAGAGAAAAGGTAACTCCATGTGATGTATATAGAAAGCATATGCTTTAAACATCCATTGTGAGTCAGCTATCAAAACATCCATTGTAAGTCAGGTATCAAAACATCCTTTGTGAGTCAGCTATCAAAACATCCATTGTAAGTCAGCTATCAAAACATCCATTGTGCATCAGCTATCAAAACATCCATTGTAAGTCAGGTATCAAAACAACTATTGTGTGTCAGCTATCAAAAATCCATTGTAAGTCAGCTATCAAAACATCCATTGTAAGTCAGCTATCAAAACATCCATTGTGAGTCAGCTATCAAAACATCCATTGTAAGTCAGGTATCAAAACATCCATTGTGCGTCAGCTATCAAAACATCCATTGTGAGTCAGCTATCAAAACATCCATTGTGAGTCAACTATCAAAACATCCATTGTAAGTCAGCTATCAAAACATCCATTGTAAGTCAGCTATCAAAACATCCATTGTGAGTCAGCTATCAAAACATCCATTGTGCATCAGCTATCAAAACATCCATTGTAAGTCAGGTATCAAAACATCCATTGTGTGTCAGCTATCAAAACATCCATTGTAAGTCAGCTATCAAAACATCCATTGTGAGTCAGCTATCAAAACATCCATTGTAAGTCAGCTATCAAAACATCCATTGTAAGTCAGCTATCAAAACAACTATTGTGTGTCAGCTATCAAAAATCCATTGTAAGTCAGCTATCAAAACATCCATTGTAAGTCAGCTATCAAAACATCCATTGTAAGTCAACTATCAAAACATCCATTGTGAGTCAGCTATCAAAACATCCATTGTAAGTCAGCTATCAAAACATCCATTGTAAGTCAGCTATCAAAACATTCATTGTAAGTCAGCTATCAAAACATCCATTGTAAGTCAGCTATCAAAACATCCATCGTAAGTCAGCTATCAAAATCGTAAGTCAGCTATCAAAACATCCATTGTGCATCAGCTATCAAAACATCCATTGTAAGTCAGCTATCAAAACATCCATTGTAAGTCAGCTATCAAAACATCCATTGTAAGTATGCTATCTAAGTGTGAATATCTCAGTCTCTGAGACATCTCCATTTATTAATTCAATAACTGTGTCTTTGAGACATCTCCATTTATAATTAAATAACTCTATATTTGAGACATCTCCATTTATTAATTTTTATTAATTAAATCACTCTGTCTTTGAGACATCTCCATTTATCAATTGAATTACTCTATCTTTGAGACATCTTCATTTATTAATTGAATAAATCTGTCTTTAACCCATTTATTAATTGAATAACTCTGTCTTTGAGACATCTCCATTTATCAATTGAATTACTCTATCTTTGAGACATCTTCATTTATTAATTGAATAAATCTGTCTTTAACCCATTTATTAATTGAATAACTCTGTCTTTGAGACATCTCCATTTATCAATTGAATTACTCTATCTTTGAGACATCTTCATTTATTAATTGAATAAATCTGTCTTTAACCCATTTATTAATTGAATAACTCTGTCTTTGAGACATGTTCATTTATTAATTGAATAACTCTTTCTTTAAGAATCTCCATTTATTAATTGAATGACTCTGTCTTTGAGAATCTCCATTTATTAATTGAATGAATTTATATCTTCCAGACATCTATATTCACGTTTATCTAAAGCCAAAGCTGACACTTCAGAGAAAGCAAGCTCCGAGGTTTGGCATTTTTTACATCATGCCATATTATAAATAAGTTTACATTATGCCATAATATAAATAAGTTTACATTATGCCATATTATAACAAAGTTTACATTATGCCATATTATAAATAAGTTTACATTTCCATATTATAAATAAGTTTACATTATGCTATAATTATAATATGTTTTTTTATTATTTCAGCTTACGTATGGCCCTAATAGTTTGGTTTTTCTTTTACTTTGGCATAATAATTATTTCAATGATTTTAAATGAACAAAAACGTACTTAAGACCAAGTATTTAAACTGTTGTTCTAAAGTAAATTTTCATTCAATTTCTGTTATTATCTATTGTGCTCCATCTTTATCTCTAATCCAAGCAGAGAGAAATGCAAAATCTATTTATGGCGATGAAACATTTTTTTTTCATTCTAAATATCTCTAGGCCAATAATGAAGTGAAACAACAAGCAGACTCTCAAGACCGTCTAGAAAATGTTTGGCAGAGACTTCATGTTCCAGACTCTCAGAGACTTGATATGGCCATCAAGTACAGCTGTAATGAATATTTTAACAAGCTTTCTGAAGTGAGTTCATTATGACTTGAGTTAAAAACCAGTGTTACTAGGATTGTATAGTCCAGTGGTTCCCAAACTGTGCTCAGTGTGCACAGGTGACTCGTGGCTCTTGCAGGAAACTCCTAAACACTATTAACTCGTAAGACTGAGGGTAGGCTTAAGTGGCTCCCCACTTAGAAGCTTGATTCTAAAAAGGGCTCCATGATTAAAAAATGCCAGGAACCATTGGCTTAGTCAATAGTGAATGTTTCTTACTGTATCATTCGGTACAACATTACTCATAAATAGATAGGTAAAACAGAAGTAATCAGAAGTATTGGTATTTATGGAAGAACGTTATAAAATTTGAAAGTTAACTTTACTGTCTATGCAGACTTCTGTGACATCCTTAATGTTATGTATCTAATATATATAAATTATCAGTCTTACTAAATTATCATGATGCAACTTCAAAAACAAAAGCTTTATTTTACTCCACATAAACGTATCCAACATTAAAAATAGTTGTGAGCAGCTCATTGGATAATAGTAATTTAAAATGTATCATTTCTTCAAGGCCATCGAGGGTTGGGAATTCGTGTCAGATCTGATCCTTCAGCGAGAGAAACTACTTATCGACTTGGAAGAATTTGAAAGACACGCTTTAGACCCTAATCGATTTTTCCATAAAGGTGGGTATCTATTTATTTTTTATTTAAAAAGGTTTTTTAAAAAAAGAACTTGACAACACAACGTAGACAAACCATAATTTATAATATAGAACATAGAACATTTTCAGGCAAGTTATTAATTTCAATAATCTAAGCTCACTGATGAAATAAACCATTAATTGTTGAACTTTTTTATAACTCTGCATGGAAAAAGTTTCTTTCAGTTTTTAGCTTTTTCAGATAATGTGACCTTGACTCATCAAAGATACTTTTTTTTTCTAAAGATTCAAAGCATGGATATATTTATGTAAGCGTTTAAAAAAAATGTGTTTATTGTTTTTTTGGCAGATTCCAAGAAAAGCTCTAACAGACTGAAGGAGTCAAAACATAGAGCCCATCTCTATAAGGTATCTTCATATTTATCACCTGTACCTTATAGAGCCAGACTGTAGATATTATGAAATTTGATTATCTTAAAAGGAAAAACTTTAGTGTTTATCTTTTCAATTATCTTAGTTACGATTGTTCATTACTTGATGCCACAAAAATCAGCATTGTAAGGAAATGTTTTAATCAGCATTGTAAGGAAGTGTTTTAATCAGCATTGTAAGGAAGTGTTTTAATCAGCATTGTAAGGAAGTGTTTTAATCAGCATTGTAAGGAAGTGTTTTTATCAGCATTGTAAGGAAGTGTTTTAATCAGTATTGTAAGGAAGTGTTTTAATCAGCATTGTAAGGAAGTGTTTTAATCAGCATTGTAAGGAAATGTTTTAATCAGCATTGTAAGGAAGTGTTTTAATCAGCATTGTAAGGAAGTGTTTTAATCAGCATTGTAAGGAAGTGTTTTAATCAGCATTGTAAGGAAGTGTTTTAATCAGCATTGTAAGGAAGTGTTTTAATCAGCATTGTAAGGAAGTGTTTTAATCAGCATTGTAAGGAAGTGTTTTAATCAGCATTGTAAGGAAGTGTTTTAATCAGCATTGTAAGGAAGTGTTTTAATCAGCATTGTAAGGAAGTGTTTTAATCAGCATTGTAAGGAAGTGTTTTAATCAGCATTGTAAGGAATTGTTTTAATCAGCATTGTAAGGAAGTGTTTTAATCAGCATTGTGAGGAAGTGTTTTAATCAGCATTTTAAGGAAGTGTTTTAATCAGCATTGTAAGGAAGTTTTTTCTAATTCTTCCAGAAAATTGATACTTTGGACAGCGAAATAAAAGAGGAAGTGGACTACATCCACGACAAGTTTCATGATATCATAACATTTAAGGTAATTAACTTTGTAACTTTAAAAGGCTCAGAAGATTTAGTAATAATCTGTTAAATATTCATTACTCCTTTTATACGAAGAAATTTATAACGCAGTGAATAACTTTACTAACAATAAAATTGCAAGGTATAATCAAAAGTAATGTTAAAATATTTTTAAAAAATAAATAAATTTCAAGAAATATCTTAGCAAAACAAGTTCTTATTTTATTAGGAAAAAATGTTAAAACAAGGAGTCATTATAAAGAACATTAAATATGACAGTTAAACTTTAGTCTATTTGGTGTGATGTTAAATACCAGCAACAAATTTTGATGCTCTAATTGAATTTTTGATCGCAATACCACTAAGCACCTAGACTCTCGACCACTTAATTTACAAACAATAATTGAGAAATAAAGCTCACAGTTATGTTGATTTTAAGATTTTGATTGAAAAAAATATATCCATTTTCAAAATAATTTTCATTAGTAATTTATTTTTCAGGGTCGACCCTACACGGACAAGATGAAGTGGGATCGAACTGAAATGTTGTATTGGTTATCAGAGGAACGGAAACAAAATGGGTTAAAATATGAGCTCTATACAAAGGGAATTAATCTACCTTTGAAATCAGTACAGTTAAAACCAATTGTTTTGGGGCAAACTTAGCTAGTAAAAACAAAAAGAGCCCTTTCTTAAGATTTTACATTTAAAAATAATCTAGCTCACATGATAAAAATAAAATATGTGTTAATCTATAAGCTCAATAAATAATCCTATTAGATGGGATATATGGTTATTTCATGGGATCGATAAATTAATTTCATGAAAAATTGCTGACAGGAAAATTTGAAAGTGTTACAGTTTATAAAATTCTGTCCTCCAACTGGAACAGACAATTTAATGAACTTAGACATTTCTGACATTTTAATATTTAAAATATAAAAAGTAATGATGAAGGAAAAGTGGAAAATTCAAAACTTCATTGTGATTTAATATTTTTAAGCTAAAACGTAAGTTAGAAAGATCACGTGATCATTAACATGAAATAATTTTCTTCTTAACTTAAATGTAAATGGAAAACAAAATAACAAAATCCCTAATTTAAAGTTAAATACAGTCAATGTACATAAAATTAATAGAGAACATGCAAATATGTAATGGTCAAGAGAACATGCAAAAATGTAATGGTCAAGAGAACATGCAAATATGTAATGGTCAAGAGAACATGCAAATATGTAATGGTCAAAAGAACATGCAAATATGTAATGGTCACTTACTTTGATCGATTGAATTTTAATTTTAAACAAATTTTAAAAAGCTCTGATCCATTTGTGATGTACCTTGTCTGACCCAATTATGATGTACTTAAATTTGAATATTAATATAACAAAACAAATTGTTATTGTGTTTTTTTCTTCAAAAGTTGCTGGAATAAATTTTATGCATGCCATTTCATGATCATTTATGTATCTATAAATCTTACATAATATCATGATATTAATTATGCAAATCAATTAAATATATTTGTTCAAATATATTCTTAAATGTGTTTTGAATATAAGTATTCTTGAAAGAAAATAATTGTGACTTATTAGTTCCTGAAAACCTTGACATTTTCTCAGCTGAATTCAGTGAACATCCATCCATTCAGAAATAGAACAGTATTAACATGTTTAAGTTTAAGTATACTAAAAACACATTCATCAAGTAGAATATAAACACATTCATCAAGTAGAAAAGTATAAATAAAATAATTTTCACATGAAATAAAATTACTTTGGCTTAAAGAATAATATTCTGCTATTAATACTGCCTGTAGCAATAAAAGGCGTTGCAGGATGAAAGGCTACACTCTGAACCACCTCATTATGGCCTCTCAATCTCTCACAGTAAGTTCCCTTCCTCAAGTCATAAAGATAAACAGTTCGATCTTCAGAGCCTGAGGCTATATAATTTCCACATGGACTAAAAGCAATTTGACACGCATGAGCATTATTCAAGTGTCCCTGTAAAGAATGAACATTAGTCCTAGAACGTAAATCCCAAAGCTTTATTGGATCTGTGGGGGCAATGGTGGCAATGACATTATAGGCTGATTGTGATTGCGTTGAAAAACATGATCCTTCATTAATAGCAACACAATGAGCAGACCTTGAATGACAGTCTCTGAATTGGTGGGCAAGAATGGATTTATTTAAATCATAAACTTCCAAGTTGCGACCAGATGTTGTACAGATAACTAAATATGAGAAAAAAGTATTTACGGCCGCCATGGCGGTAAAGGATGAGCTGGGTGTTAGCCATGTGGCCACAAGTTTATGTCTGTTCCGAATCTGGTAGCGTTTTACGTCATCACACTCTTCTGTTATATTGTATTTGTATAAGAGAAGTTCTGGCCCATGTGTTATCAATATGAATTTATCAATGTAGAAAAACTGAGCACTTCTAATTTCTTTGGAAAATGGCTTGTTGTCAACATGAATTGCTAAGGATGTTTTCAATCTACCACTTGAACTGGATGATCTGGAAAGTGAAGCAGAGCTTTTTTTTAATGACTGAGTTTCTTTGAGTGTTCCCTGTATATGAGTTAATTTCATTACAGAATCTCCACCAGTTTTGTTCCACACACAGACCATTTTATCATTAGATGCCGTAAGGACATAAGAGCCATTATTACTCCAGAACACAGAATTTACCGCACTGTTGTGACCAATGAGGGATAATGAAACTTGCTTGCTTAACGGAGATTTCACTATTAGACCAGATTTATTTGACAATGCACAAGCTAAACCACTTCCATCATCAGAAAATCTGAGGCAAGATACAGCTGTAGTTTGAAAGTCAACTTCAAAAGTACTGCAAAGTTCAGTGGGGAGTCCTCTGCTGGTGTCATAATTATCTTTCAGTATCTTGCTAGCTGAAAATCTTTTGATTTTTTCTGACTTTTTCTTAGCTGAATCTAGTTTGAGCAGTTGAACTCTGCTTGTTTCAGGTTTGAACATTGTTGTTCTTGGAACCTGAGAATAACCTGAGGACTTTATCTTGCTCTGAAATGTCAGTGGCTGGTTTAAAATATCAATTGGCTTCTTTTTGCTTGAAGTTATTTCTTTCCTTGTAATAGCTTTAGCCACCAATTGGGGAAAAAATTCAGATTTTAAGGGAGAAATGCTTAAAAGAGTCATTGTAGGAATAATATTCAATTCAAATAGGTCATCCATCTGTGAATGATCTGATTCATATGTGGTTTCAAGTTTTTTAACACTATTATTACACAACGATAAAGTAATCACATTAATTCTTTTCTCAAACATTGATCCCAAAACTGCAGTTACTGTCGAAGCATCTTTCTGGTGCAAGGCACCATATGAAATAGGACCAATAGTTATGGACGGAGAAAATGAAGTGGCTTTCATAGGATGCTGTAGATTAATAGTGTCTAATATTTCATATGTTTTTGAATTAATTTGGAGCAGATTAGTTGATGTAATAATGCACAGAGATGGAGGAAGATCATTCAAAATATCATTTGCACCTGAATTTTCCAAAATAAAAAAATTTAATTGTGAAGAGTCACCTTTGCTTTGTGGCAAATACACAAACTCAATAGCCAATACAGATTCACTGGATTGTATTGTTGTTAAGTTTTCCACTTTTCCTTTTTTATCAGTTTCTCTATTTGGCATCAGATTGCTTTGGCTTTTCTTCTTAATATTAAGTGCTAAGTCTATATTGGCAAGCTGTCGAAAGTTATTTCCATCAGTAAGATCGAAGATTTTAAGACTGCCATCAGCAGTTCCAATTGCAAAATGTGGGATTTTTAAGTTCATACAAAGACTGATAAGAGGTGATGATGAAATAATTGTTGACTGATAAATTAAGAGATTCTCACGGACATCCCAAACACAAAATGATCTGTCATCTGATATAGATACCAATGTTGCAGAGTAATGTGGACAAAATTTCAAACTTGTTATCATTGCCCTGTGGCCTTCTAGTATGCAAGGTGTGGGCCTATCTTTTTGTCCTATAATGAAAAGACAAACTTTAAAATCTGATGCTACTGCCAGTAAGTCATCTGAATTATTAAAACACATAGCAGTTACTTCTCCTTCATTTGAACCAAGATTTTTGCTAGTTATTTCTTGATCATTTGTTGATGATAAACTCAGTTTCCAAATCAGTATTTTGTCTCTGCAAGAAGATGCCAGATAATGAATTGGATTTCTGTTACTGAATGAAAGTGCAAAAATTTCTTTCACGTGACCACTTAGTTCTATGGGCTGTGGCTTAATGGTAGAGGATGTTGTTTTCCAAAGACCTAAAATGTTTTTAGTTAGCGGTAATGCGATCCATTCACTTGTCACACAAGGATCTACGCGGCATGGATTAGCATGCAATGGCAATGATAATGTCTGCGTTGCGAACATTTTTAAGTATTAAAGAACTCAGATATAAGTGAAGCTAACAACATTTAATGAATAAATGGCTGATGAAGGTATCACAAAAATAATACAGAGACCGACACGACTAGAAAAATGGGACGTTGCTAACCACGCCAGAAAAACAATGTCCTTTGGGAATGGTCTCCCTTGGTCTCTACTACCTACCAGTACAGCCTTTTAATTTGATGAATTTTTCTCAAAATTATGAGTTACATGGGAGACAATAAAAAACTAAATGTGACCAGCACATATTTTGTAAAAATAAATATACAATAATGTGCATTACGAAAGAATGATGCCTCAAATTATAATATAATGTTTTTCTGAAAGCCTAACTTCTTCATTTTAGTTATCTCAGTAACTCTCATTTGTGTGGGGGTAACTTTTATCACTATCACCAAGGCAAAAAGCATATTAATAAAATAATAATTACCGTTTTGAAATAATAAAACGAATGATTGTTAAAATTACAAAGAATGACCACAGCATTAGCTATATATTTACAATTTTTATCTCTATTTCTTATGTTTTTTTTTTTAAATTCTATTTGCAAATAAACAATGGCCTTAAAATTTTGTGCAGCCCTATTAACAGCATTGTAGGCACGGAGATAATAAATATTATTGAATCAATCTCTGCCCTGTTTGTTCTTGTTGCACTTCCCATGGTTGTGTCTAATCTTGTTCGTTGAAAATGCTAGTGATAGGATAATTGTGACTGCACATTAATAAATAAAACTGAAACTGTTAAAATCCACTGATGCACTCGCTGGCAATATGAGTGATTCTAAGAGAAAGCGAGGCACAGCTTGGGGAACAAAGTCGCGTCAAGACAGAGAGAGAGATCGAGAAAATCAACATCACAATTGTTATTATGGTCATGATAATCATAACGAGCAAACAAGTCAGAAAGCACAAAGAACCCCGTATTCTCAACGAGTGAAATCAGCCAATGCTTTAGTGAGTAGTTGGTATTTATGATGTGACATTATAAAATTGATTCATATTCTAGTAGTATTAGTATTAATAATAATAAAGTGATGTCTCTAATATAATAATTTATTTAATGTTATTATTTATACTATATTATAAATAGGTCTTTTAATACAAAATTAAAAAAAAGAATTGAAATAATTTTAATAACACAGTTAGAGCAAATTTCAAATAAAAAAATGAACCCAGAATCAACTTTTTAGCTCAAGTACTTTTTGAGCTAGGAATTTTTAAAGTGTGAGTTCGTGTGGTATTTTTTACTATGGACGAAACCTCCACATCTTATGACCTCATTGATCGCGTCATGCACAATGACTATATACTTTATATAAGGCAACGCATCGCCTTATCACTAAAATACTGTTTGGGTCGACTTAGTTTAAACTTTCAACTTTGGCACATGAATAATTAATTAAAGCTTTCCCTGACCAATGGTATAATAGTTTTTGCACACGGCAAACTCTTTTGAATGAAACTCTGAGGTAGTACTACGATACAGCCACTATGCAAGTGGCTGTGAATGGGTGCCAATGATAACTTGTTGCACACCGTAAATTCTGATAATTTATAATATGGACTACTGGGTTTTTAAAGCTCAAACTAATACATTCCAGTTTAAATTTCTTCAAAATGCATTCCGAAACAGAAGTTATCAAATATTTTGATATAAATAGTTGTAATAATTTAATATTTCCTAAGTATCGGCAACTTTTACCATTAAAAAGGGGGTGTGGCCCACGCCATGTCGGAATTAGGCTTAGCGAACTGCATGACCTGCTGCGAACCCTTAGAAACATGGCATCTCTCGTAAAACACATGTCGCTGTGAAAATTGGCATACATGTAGATCAATGCATGCCCCAGATGCATAAAAAATTTGGTAGTGACATGTCTTTTACTTCAACTTAATTTTAATGGTTGAAGTTGCCTTATATTCACCAAGGATTTTCTCAAAACTGACTGAATGAAAAAGAAATTGATTAAAATGTAGGCCAAGATGTCCTCTAAAGCGAAAGGCCGGAAGAGGAAAACAATTCTGGGATAAAGTAATTATTTTATGAATGAAATAGTTGCACTATCAAAAAATTAAAAACTCAGATTTTCGCGCCGGCACCTATTTCCCATACAAATTTTTTAGTAGTCTCCCTTGCTTCATCGAAGTCCCTTCTATATATTATATAGGCTAAATATATAAGTATAAGGTAAATTTTGTGTTAACGGTATGGGCTTTGCCAAGAGTTGTCTCACCCTAAGCGCAGTGATGTCACTTTGGAGAATCCCAACACTGGACTTAACTTAAAGTGATTAGGACCTGAATGGTGTGAGTGTGATAACTGTGCTTTACACCTCACATTATAAACTAAATCTGACGATTGATACAGTTAATATGAAGTATATTAAAATGAAATGTTTCATTAATTTTTATTAAAATTCAACTTACACGATTCAAAAGAAATAAAAAAAGAAACAGATCCTTGCTGATACCCCAAGGCCAAGACTGGTGGAAAAAAAAAGACGTGCTAAAAGTGGTGTCTTTTGATTAGTTGAAAATTGAAATTCCGGTATGTTACAACTTCTGTAAAAAAAGGAAGACTATTACTTAAATTGAATTGTTAATGGGTGACTGAGCAATAGCGTAGAATATATTTGATAACTTGTGTTTAATGAATTTAGAAGGAATTTGACTTGAACTGGAATAATATCATTTAAGGTTTAAAAACCCAGTAGAGTCCATATTATAATTTTTTTCATAATTTTCCATTTGCAAAATGTCAGAGTTTCATTTATATTATAAGTTAGCTGTGTGCATAATGATATGTGGAGGGGAGACACCCACCACCCCCAATCCCTATCTTATTTAATTTAATAATGTAGTACATATCTAGATAAGTTATAATTTATAATTCAATTGCATAATATTGTTAATATTAATTTTAAAATTAGAACTTTTAATGCATAGCAATGATTAATCCAGCAAAATAAAAGTTGTATAAAATTGTCATTAAAACAAGAGTTATAGCGCGTGACATGATCAGTGGAATGGGGTCACAAATGTGGTGGTGCATTCCATAAGTAAAAAATACCAAATTTTTTGTTATTGTATCTAAGTACCTAATATATTTAGTTTAAATACAGGTATTTATTATTAACAATATTGTGCAAGATAAGCTGTGTCCCATCTCAAAACCATTTCCTCTATTTAGTCTCTCACCTACTTATATCTATATTACCATTACTCAGAACTAGTAGGAAAGATATAGATTTAAAATCTGTCTTATATTTACAGATGCCCTATATTGGCCTAAGATTCTCCAAAATTAAAGATTATTGAAAGAAAACAGCAACTCATTTAATTTCATGCTGTTGTACAGTTTAAAAAAAAAATTTGTACAGTTTTGTGATCCCATTGGTTGGAATGTATGCATCATCTATCCATCTCAAACTTTTTTGTACCAGTGAGCCGATTGATTGCCCTTAATTTCTACTGCTATACCACTTTTACTCCTCTTTAATCTGGCAGCTTCTCAAGGTGTACCTACCATCCAGGTGTACTATCCAGCGTAGACTGCCATCATGATTGGGTCCTTGGTCAGCTGATATACTTTCTTACTTGTGTATAATCTCTTTCCAGCAATATCTGCTGTAGACTCATTTAAATTTCTTATTGCTGTCCTTCCCATAGATTGAGGAGGTTTTCGTTTTCTTGGTATAGGTCCATGTCTCACTTGCATTCATGACTACTGGTATTATTATTGTGATGCACCAGCCGCTTGCCTTACTTATTATATCATCATTAATAAGCTGGACAATTTGAATAAATCTCTCAGCAGGAATCTTCAGTGAAAGTTTAACTAGCATTCATCATATCATATGTTGTGTTCAAATATTTTCATCCACACTCATTTATTGTTATTCCCATCTATTCATGGCCAAAACACTGGAGCAGGTATAGATGGAGTTAAAAAATCATTACTATTTATACAAGAAACATAATAAAAATTTGCATAATTTATTAACATAAATTAAAGTTAGATCTAGTGTCTAAGATTTTGAGCACATGGATATTTTCTCTGCATTGTGTAAGTTGAATACATGTTTAGGCTTTCTACTTTCACCAATATATATAAAAAGACTATTCATTAGCTCAGTCTTCATACGATATAGAAATATCACAATTGAATTATTGTTTCTTATTTTGCTAATCGGTGGCTAAGTATAGAATGTTTATTCACAGAGTCAACAGTCACATAACCATCGGAATGGTTTTGACAATGTCCGAAAAATAGTTCAGGAAGAGGGACGTACTGCACGTAATCTTGTGCAGTACAGTGTCCCTGCATCTGAAAATCAGCTAGCTGAACAAGCTGGGAATACAGGTATACATAAATTGAGTTACTTTCTTTGCAAGCTTCTTTCATAGTAGAATATTTTTGGCTTCTTTTAAAGATATTTTCAGGTTAAAAAAAAAAAAAAAATAAGATATACCATATTTATTATATTATAAATGAATCTCAAGCATTTCTAAATTTGAGAGCTGGTTTGATTTTGAATGTACAACATGTTCTTAGTATTGGCTAATTAAATGTACACCTGTTTGTGCAGTGCCTTCAAATTCCCGTTCATCCAGCCAACAAAAGAGGGCTGGCTCTTCATCCCGTTCTCAAGCTCATCGCACACCACCACCTGGTTCTCGCTTTCGGCATAGGTCCTTATCTGATATGGCAAAGTCCCCTAGATCTGATGCTGGTTCCAAAAAAAATGATCTCAGAGCCCGGTACTGGAAGTATATGTTTGATAATTTCCAAAGAGCTGTTGACTCTATCTACCAGACATGTGAACAGGATGAGAGTGTTGTTGAATGCAAGGTAAAGCCACATGACATTGCCATCACATGACTTAAACATCATATGACTTGGCCATCACATTACCATCACTTGACACTGACATTTCATGTCATACATGACATGGCCACCACAACATATTGTAAATATAT